CTCTTGAAGAGATTGAGAAAGAAACCTCAACCTCCGAGGCCTTTGCCAATGTCGGTAATGACGCATGGCCTGATTTCCCCGAAGCAATGGATGAAATAGTTACCAAGGACAAGTTGGCCGTAGTATACTTTGTTGCACAGGGCCAAGGCGACTATGTAATTGCCTGTAGGAAGAGTGCTGATCGCCATACACGCTGGCCGTACTTCATGTACATTCCGGACAGTCTCGTGGATGGTCATCCGGACTTCCAAAGGAAATTAGAAGTAGGAGACTTAGTGTCGGTGTCCCGGTTCGCTTGGAGTGAAAAGTTTAGGGATTTAGCTGCCACAAGGGAAGAGGTAACCTCAACAAAGAAGTTTTGGCTCAATGAATCCACCCAGTTGCTACCGAGACAAGCCGATGCAGAAGAATTAGGGAACATAATCTATGACGATCAGGAGCGACAGATGGTCACTGGCGTCATCTATTACATAAGGTTCAGATCCCAACACGACCCTGAAACATTTCAGTACGCAGAGTTGGCTTGCTGCGGCATTGCCCACTCGGCGCGAATCAACAGACGTCACTTAAATGGGATTTCTGTCCAGGAACTTGTTCAAGGCATGTTGGTAAACGTGTCATGTATAAAAATCCCGCGGGATTCACTAATTTCTAGAACTTATGTTCTCCCTTCCAACACGCTGTTTCGAGCCGGCACTGAGACTTTGGCAGTCTTCCCTGAAATTTATGGAGCTGTTGGATTAGTAAACCCTCATCTATTGGAGTGGCCGAACACTAATATTAATGGCACACCAAAAGTTTTCCCTTGCTCTGCGGAGCTCTCACAAGATTATCTCAAATGCGCCGAGCACGTCGTCGGCTCCGCCCTTCAAATCGAGATGGAACGTGAGGTAGAGAAGATGATTGAAGCCCGCTTTGAAGGGAGGGCAAGAGAAATCACTGGAAGGAGGTGCCTGATATGTTTTAACCCCCGCCCAAAGGAAGAAATTTCTAAATACGCGGCGGCTTGGGAGCTGGAAGCAATTGTTAAAATCTCCAAAAATCTGGGTCAAAAAGGGCTCTGCTATGGTACCATCAGGCAAGTTGACGTTGTCAACTCGGAAAGAAACCTATTGGAACTCCATGTGGTCATTATTCTGAACAATATAGACCAAGGAAGGAAGAATAAGGAAATAGGAAAGGAATTGAATAAATTCCTGGAGGGAGGACTGGTAGTCATTCATCCAACACTTCCACTGGTGGTAGAAGATCGAGTCCGATGCTTCCGATGCAACTTCCCCTCCACCATGGCAGTTGAAAATTCCCCGAGGGGTCATATCATGGCAACACTACTAGGGCGTCCTATTGGGGAGGGGGTAAAAATGGTCATGGATGACGTGAATGATCAAGCTGATCAGGCTGGAGATGATGAAGAATTCCATCCAGTCATCCAAACCCTCAATGGTCGCCAAAGGGTAACAGCAAGACTGCTAATGACCGGGGGGCTTGTCCATCAACAAGCGCCCCCGGGAACTGGAAAAACCAAAGTCGCCGCGGCTATTGTCAAAGCTTGGCGTGACCTTCGGCCTGAGGGCCAAATAGCGGTCATGGCTTGCTCAAATATTCCTGTTGTGAAATTGGTACAAGAGACTGCTGAAACTTGTGGAGAGGAAGAGTTGGAGGATATGCAGTCTCTCGCATTATTTTCTGCGATGGCGAAAGAAAAATATAATGAGCAAATCAGGGATGTGGAGCGCCACACTCTTATCAATAAGATTAGTAATGAGGCATTCCGAAGCAAATTGCAGCAACCCCAAAAAAAAGAAGTGGATGAGTATAGGGAAAATTATCTTAACAACCCGCGGGTTTCACAAGAGAGAAAAATTGGAAGGCTTTATAAAAGCTTCGAGCGGCCGAACATCACCTTCTCTACAGCCTCAATGGCTACATTTTTCCTTGAGGGTGAGGGGAATATTGTCGACACTGAACTGCTACTTTTTGATGAAAGTACGCAAGCCCAGTGGGCAGTAGTGGTACATTTGGTGGCATGTCTTCCCAAACTTCGGGCGATCCTCCTGACGGGGGATCGCCACCAGCTCGGTGTGTATCTGGCTGAGCTCCCGGAGGTTTTCTGGCAGGGCTTCGGACTTGAAAGTGTCATCAAACAAGTGGAGATATCACCTGGCGCAAACTACACATTCCTGACAAAAATGTATAGAAGCCATCCATTCCTGGTCCAGCTCATTTCCTACGCTTCTTACGAATTGTTTGATGAAAGATTAATTCCGTCACGCAGTGAGGAAGAGCGTTCACTGTTGACCAGCTCGGAATTCCTTCTCCCTATCCAATCATGTCCTGTGGGACTCATTAATGCTTATAGTTCATTCCGAACGGACTCGAAAAGCGACTCCCTTACGGATGACCACCAAACGGAAGTTGCTGAATTCCTAGTTCAGGCACTTCTTCACCACTTTGGACCGCAGTTCAGCAAGAGCATTGTAGTGCTCTGTATGTATACTTACCAAACAACGCAGATTGCGAGCAGAGTGAGGGAGCTTGGAGTCAGAACGCTTACGGTGGACTCTTATCAGGCCCAAGAATGCGATGTGACCATCATTGTAACGACCAGGTCGAGATACGCTGAGCATGGCTCCGGGAAATCTGACAACATGCATTTCTTTAAAAATAATGAACGTGCCACTGTTGCACTTTCGAGAGCGCGCCATGCCATCTTCCTAATTGGGGATCTAGTTTCCATCTCTGAAGGACCCATATGGAAACGCTTCTTAGAGAAGGCCATCACGAGAACCAGGGTAGTGAAATCTGAATATGTGAGTGGTCTCTTGGGTGGAACACTTGAAAGGTCATCAACTTCAGACGACTTGTATGACAAGAGTCTCAGAGGCACCGTAGAAGACAAAGGTTTCCTAGGTGAATGGGCCCTCAAGCATGGCTTAAGACCGGACAGGATGGACCTCCCTGCACCGCCGGAAGAGCCAACAAGACCGACCTTCAGATTCCAGCACTTCCCAGCTCTTAATGAGGCCGGACCCTCTGGTAGTGGAACCTCCGGGAATTCTCGTAGTCCTGCAAGGAGGGAAGATAGAGGAAGAGGGCGCAGGGGAGCTGATGGCCAATGGCTAAATTACGCTGGCAACCCTAAAAGGCAAAGAGGAAAGGGAAATAATTATTAAACGGATATATGTCCTGCGGGACTCACAAAAATTTCAAAAAAAAAAAAACTTGTAAATATTTAAATAAAAAAAAATATATACATAATATTATTAATTCATGGTTCAAAAATAAGTCCTGCGGGACTCTTTCATGTTAAAAAAAAATAGATGAAGATTTTGAAAAATTAAATCCTGAGGGAAGTAATTATGGAGCTGGTTAAACTCTAATGTGACAAATGAAATTAAAGGTTTGTGAATTTTAGAAAACCGAAAATGAATTTTTTACAAATAGCCAGAAAAGTTCCCAAAGTGAAACTGATATTTACCAAAATGAAACTGATATTACTGATATTTACCAGAGGCGGGTCGGAGTTCCGATTTCCGAAAATTTTTTTTAATTTTTATTTCCGACTTCTAAGTTCCGACCTATGAGCCAGTTCCGATTCCCGTTTTTCTAATTTCCGACACCTCTTACTGGTCCTACCCACCTCGGCTGGGTATCTCTAACATTAGAGGTAGTCAATTTGAAAAAAAAAAAAAGAAAAAATTTTTTTTTTGTCTTCTTCTAGTCTATCAAAAGAGTTTCTGTACATACATTCTGGATTCTCTGAGCATCATTCAACTTTTTATTAGTTGCGGTGTATAAATTTTGTACATATTTTTGAATTATGGATTTAATTACAAATTTGGAAATTACTGACTCTTACAAATATACTTTCCGAAGAATATGTCAAAATATTACTAACTAAATTAAAGTAAGTAAAAAAAAACTGATTATTTTTCCGTTCTTCAAAAAATTTTTTTAAATATTACCCGTGACTCCAAAACTCGCGAGTAAATAAAAAAAACATATGTACAAATAAAATTATAAGGTCGCTAGAGAACCCTCAGAAATCCTTTATTTTACTTTTAAGCCCTTTAAATCGTACAAAAATCCCTCGAACTTCTCCTCTACATTTTTGTTTTTTTTCCATTATTTCAATCCCTAGAAAAAAAAATTTTTTTTTTTAAATTTTATTCTTTTTTCCTCACATTATTTTATCGCGATTTAGTAATTTTTTTTCCAGAACAAAGTATACTTTAAGCAAAGTTTTAAACTAAGAAAAAAAAAATTTTTTTTATATTTTTTTAAATTTCTTTTCCACACTTTACAACAATCACTTCTCACAAAAAAAGGATAATATATCCCTTCGAAAAATTGCTTTCTCACAAGAAAAGTTTTACAAAAGGCGGAAGTCAATATCACAATAAAAAATTTTTTTTCCCACTCCTAAGATAAACAATCACAATGTAAAATTATAACAAACAAAGATTTTCCCAAGCTGAACATAAAAAAGTTTTTTAGTTTATGAGAAAAGGTGGAGCGTTAAATCAAATATAAAGACTAAATTAATAGCAAATTCAATCATTTATTTTAACTATAGGCTTCATCTTCTCCTTTCTTTCCCTATCCCCGGTTTATCTCTACAAACATTTATTTTCTTTTAACTATACTATTTAAAAATTATTATTTATTTTTAAATTATTTTATTTAAAAAAAAATTTTTTTTTTTGTTCTCTTTAATTATTTTTATTTTGCCTCGTCTCCTTTTCTTCACATCTACAACATTTTAAATAATTATCATTTATCTTTTGATTTTTTAATTTGAAATCCTCTTTTATTTTTAAAATTTAACCTATAATTCCTTAGTCTAACTCTTCATTTTCTAAAACTTTAATGAATATTTTCGAAATTTTTTTTTTACTCATCAAATAATTTTTATCATCCAATAATTATTTATTTATTTTTAGCTAAAAAAAAAATTTTTTTTTTCATTTCTATTGCCTTATAATCTAAATCTCGAGTGATTCAAAATGCCTTTACTTCCCGATGAGGAGGGATCCACAAATTCCTCCAGGGACAACAACACTATTATAACTCCTGAGGGAGCCATTAACGATATTGGTGACTTGAGTCTCACTGTAGTGGACAGAAAATTGTTTAATGAGAAAATTTTAAGCACAACGGCCCGTCTTTCTGATGTGGATAATGTCCACAAGAATTTAATCAGAACCGAGGATGGAGTTAATCGACTCTCTCGCGTTCTCAATAGGCGAATAAATCAAAATTCACGCGATATAAAAACATTAACTGACGAAACTAGCGAATTATCTGCACGCATAAACACTCTAAACCTTGAGCAAAACGTCAATAATAACTCAATTGTGGGTGAAACTCCACTCGCAAATCGTGTAGCTCAGCCCGCACTAAATACAATACCCAATCGCCCAAATCGCGAAAATAGGACAGAAGAAGCTGCACCACTTGAAATAAATCCTGAGGGATTCCACAAAATTAACATGCTCTCAGCCGAAAATTTCCCGTCATTTACTATCTTTTCAGGAAGCTCAGTTCTTGATTTTGAACGTTGGGCAAGGAAATTTAATGACCTAATTGACTGCAATGGTGGGAAGTGGGATGAAAAAGAAAAGATCGCACGCTTAAAAGCCTGTCTAGATGGGAAACCTCGAAGAATCTTTGAAAAGATATCTGAGGCTAATAAGACCACTCTTGCGGGAGCCATTAAGAAAATACATGAAAGTTTAGACACAACGCAAAATCGCGAATTGACCTATAAGGCCTTAAGCGTCTGTAGACAAAAAGAAGGAGAATCTGTAGATGAATTCTCCGCTCGATTAATACCATTGGTAGAAGCAAGTACAGTTGACCAAACTGGTAAGGCATCGGAAGAAATTCTTTGTAGGCTTTTCCTAGAGAAATTAACTCCGAACCTCCAATTTCTCACGAGGACCTTAACAGGGCCAAATAGGAAAGACTTCGATACTTTACAATTAAACGCACATGAGGCAGAAATAATGCTAAGTGTGAATCCGAAACCCAGCTTTTATCCAATCTGTCAAGTCGAAGACAATACGGTACCACAATTTCAATACAAGAGCCCTCCAAATTACCCAAATGGGAACTTTAAGACTTGGGCGCCAACCAATCCAAACAGACAACCCCTCGGTCGTCCCAACAGATTTCAAAATAGTGGAAATCGTAGCTGGCAATCCGGACAACAGTACAGTAACCGACCGAGAAATCCACGCAACACAAACTGGAATAGAGGTCCACAGCAAGACAAGCGGTGGAACAATCGTCCAGTCTGCAACTATTGCAAAAAGGTAGGGCACTTGGCTTTTAACTGCTTCAAGAGACGCAGTGATTTTACCCAACCAAGAAACTCGATAAGAGTATTAGAAGACCAAAATAGGATATTGCAGGGTCAAATAAATCAGATCGCTAACTCAGTCCAGAAGTTGGCGTTCAAACAAACTGCTGAGGCAGACACACGAAAAATTAATTCCATACAAAAAATTGATATACCATCAGCTGCGGCTGCCTCTAAACTTAATTCAACTGAGAAAAATGTACAAAACAAAATCTCGAGTTGGGAACCCAAAATAGGACCAAAGTTTCTTCCTATATTCACATTACTTGCCTTAAGTATGTTTGCACCCACAATAAATTGCAAAGAATTTATTCCGGTTCCTTCAGCTCCCATGATTTGTCAAACTCATTTACAGCCAATGATTTGGTCGCTTCCTAAATTTTCGGGATGCCCAAAAATAGATCTAGACACAAGCAAAGCACCTACGAAACAGAAGCGAATCATTTATGTCTCAAACCCATTAGAGTATTCAACCAAAGCCTGGGCGTGTAGAAAAGTGAATAAAATTGTACAAAAATACACGAGTTTAACGGGGGTCCCGGTAACCCAAAATCTAAATTCGGAGATTATTGCAATAAGGCCTGAAGAATGCCGACAAATGGCATACAATAAAAGATGCGATTTGGGGAACCTCCAAAATGAAACAGGGTTATGGCACACTAATAGGAAAATAGACTTAACTCCACGGCCATGGCTCTTAGGTTCCTTTTCTTGGAAAAAAGAACAAATTGAAAATTGTTATGCGTATGAAACCGAGGTGTACTCACACTTCGGGGCGAAAACAATTATAACTCCTGCGGGAGCCACTCATGATTGTCACTATAGCAAAGGTTTCTGTACTCTAAATGACAACACAGTTGTTGTTTGGGAACCTGAATCAAATAAAATGTGCAGATACAAAATGATAGGAGCAATGCTAGGACATAACTTAGGAAATATTTGGGTCTCCAATTTAGGCGAAATTGGACTGAGCTCTCACTTGGAAAGAAAGGTATATGACTGCGGGAAAAATCTTACGGTCTCGGACCAGGGACCGGCATACGTGATTACTTTTGAGAAAAGAAATAAAAGGGACCTATTTAATGTAATATATGAAGGAGCTGTCAGTTCCTCTCAGCTCGCGGCTCAACTCACATATCTTCAAGCAAACCTCACTAATTCAGTAAATACTGCCTTTGCCCAAGCGTTCCACACATTTTGTGATTTCCTTAAGGACACTCAAAGGTGGATAGAAGCCTCCTACCTAAGTAACCCAACAAACCTTGCGAGGTTCATTCACCAGAACAATTTTATAATAGCAAAGAAAGCTGGGGTTTCACTTTTAAAGACTTGGCCATGCGTGTCACTCTGAATACCAATTTCATCCAACGCGTATAAATAACACATGTTTCGAATTTTTACCAATAATAATAAACACAAATAATAGGGAGCAATTGGCTTTTCTTGACCCATCCACTTTAACAATTTCCTTACACTCTAAATTAGCACCTTGCGAGGAATATCAAAAAATTCTTATACAAACCTCTGAAAATATCTTTGAGGTGGACCAACTTAAAGGGGGGATACAAAGTGTTCACATTAATAAATTAAATGAAGCAGAGCTTGATTTAGGAATGAAATCATTTATTCCAAAACTAGCTCCTCATGCATTTCATCACTTGGTTCTTTTAAATTTAACTGACTTAGCAACTCATGCCTTTGCAACAAACTTAGTGCAAATAAGTCAATTGACCTACAAAATAGACAAAAATGAGGCATCTGAAACAAAAACCACATTATCTGATGAATGGTCTGCAATAGAAAATGCAATTATTGAAAAGGCTGTTGGAAATTATTCGACTCTCTGGCGAAATGCGGTAACAATATGTCTAATCATTTGCCTTGGGGACCTAGTAGCTCGACTAATATTTGCTTACATGGGAGTAAGACTTCAAGGACCCATAATGGCTATAGGCAGGCCCATAATCAACGGCATAACCAAACGTTTTGGGTCCAAAAGGACACGATCACCAAATAAAACAGGGAGCACAACTGAGCTCCAAGACCTAACTAAAACGGAATCAAGTAGTCCTGAACAAAGTACATCCTGTGGGATTAGAGAAAGATTGATTGACGAGCTTACTCAATCTTTTTCTAATCAAGAATCTGAAATAAACTCTGAGGAGTCCACAAAAATTCAAATAATTAAAGGGAATGAATTTCTAGACTGGCTTAATGAATTTCTCTCAAACCCGATAAGCAAAAAGCCGTCTTATAAATTGCCTCAAAACTCCGGGGATTTAACACACTTTTTAGATAAAGCCACACATTTTGGAAAAGAAATCCCAAATTTCAATACGATCATAGACCCAATTAACAAAACATCTGGGGACGAAACCATCAAGTGGAATAAGGAACAAATTTCCATTTATAAAGCCATTTTGAATCAAATGAACGTACTAGCTCGAGGTAATGCCAACTCCCCAACCCATAGGCAACTGAGAAAGACTATCTCCTCTACGGTGCTTACTATTGCGGTTATTCTCATTCTAGTTCCAAATGCAGCTGCGGCGCCAATCAAAACTTATCCAATTCAAACTTCTCAGGACTCACTCTTAGTCTCAGTATTTGTAGTCTCTATAATAATTGCATTAGTTATCCATTTTACAACCTTATTTTATACACAATCTAAACCCACTACACCGATCACGGCAATAATAAAAATAGAAATAAATGACATATCTGTAAAAGCACTTGCCGACACAGGAGCCACAATATCGATTGCTCCCATTTCTCTATCTCACAAATTAAATACTAACCCACGAACATCCAACATTGAAGCACTAAGTGTTTCAGCTCATGTTATGAAAATACTAGCAACAGCCACAGTTTATTTCAAAATCGGGAAAATCACCCTGAGGGGTCCACTTCATTTTGTATCGGATGACCAAGCAAAAGCTCTTAATGGGTACCAAGTAATTTTGGGGAGCGATATTTTTGCTAGAATCCCACCAATAACCTTTGATTTTCACAATGAGATACTTAAAGTCGGAAATGACTCACTTCCCATGGAAACTAGTAATAAGCAACAATACAACCTGAAAGTCCGGTCTCTAGAAAATTATAAAATATTACCGGGGACACAAAAAATAATAAGAGCTAAAATCGATAATGCTCAAAATTCGGAAAAGGAGGTATTAATAGAAACTCTGGATTCCCGACTTGAGGAACAAAACCTCTGTACCATTCCTACAGTATCGAAACCTAACAACAATGAAATAAATCTGATCATTTGTAATCCCACAAACATGTTGATAACTTTAACACAACGCACATGCTTAGCAAGTGCAGACGAAATACGAACTACAGAACATCCTGAAATATTTCTGGAAGGTTCGCCCAACGAAATTAATGTCCTGCGGGACTCACTAAAGAATTCTAGAGTCGAAATAGATCCCACATTTAAAATTGATTTTGCCAAATCCTCAGTATCAGGGGAAAATCTCAATAAATTGAAAAGTCTTTGCGAAGAATTTAATGATATATTCAGTAAAAGTCAGTACGACTTAGGGTCCTGTACAGCAGGTGAACATGACATAATTACAAATTCTGAAACACCTGTATCTTCAAGACCACACAAAACACCATTCAAGTACCACGATGAGCTCCAAAAGCATATTGATCAACTCCTTGCCTCAGGTGTCATGATCGAGTCTGACACACCGTGGGTCTCAAACATTGTACTAGTCCAGAAAAAGGATGGAGGACTACGCCCTTGCATCGACTTCAGGAAGCTCAATGAGGTAACAATACCCGATCACTATCCCCTCCCTAGGTTGGAAGCCATAATGGATCGAATTGGAAATTGTCACTATTATTCGAGTCTAGACCTGTCTAGTGGGTATTTACAAATTAGACTAACTGAAAATGCATCCAGGAAGTGTGGACTTATAACTGAAGATAAAATTTACCAAATGATAAACCTTCCTTTTGGATTAAGAAATGCCACAAGCGCTTTTGCTCGTTGCATGGCCCATGTCCTAAGTGGTTTAGATAATTGTGTAGTAGCTTATGTGGATGACATAGTAGTCTTCACTAAGCCCGATGATTTTGAGACACACTTGAGTTCACTAAAAAGCGTATTCGAACGCTTTCGTAGGTTTAATCTTAAATTAAGCCCCAAAAAATGTATATTCGCTGCGGCGACCATGAACTTTCTTGGCTATATAGTCAACTCAAATGGATACACCCCAAATCTAGGAAAAGTGGAAGTAATCAAAAATCTTCCAAACCCAAAAACAGTAAGGGAAGTCAAACATGTAGTAGGAATGGCATCCTTTTTTCGTAAACACATTCCTAACTTTTCAACAATTGTAGAACCACTAACTAGGCTTACAAAAAAGGAAAAGAATTTTGAGTGGGGTGAGGAGCAAAACAATGCTTTTAATAAAATTAAGGAAATTTTAACTCAAGAACCGGTTCTAATTTTTCCCGACTATGAAAAACCGTTTCACATCTTTACAGATGCCTCAACTGTTGGACAAGGTGGTGCTTTAATGCAAAAGAACGAAGAAAATAAAACATTTGACGCAATTGCCTATTGCAGTCGAACACTATCTATGTCTGAACGTAGATGGCCAGCAGTTCAAGCAGAGCTTGGAGCAATTATTTTTGCTCTTAGAACTTTCAAACCTTACATTTTCATGGCAGAAATTGAACTTCATTGTGACCACAAACCTCTGGCATTCCTTTTGAAGAAGTCAGACGCACATCCCAATCTAGCTAGATGGTTAATCGAGCTGCAGAATTACAACATAAAAATAATTCATGTAGCTGGTAAACAAAATCTGTTAGCAGATGGACTCTCACGATTCCCACAAGAAAATATTCCTGAGACGGCAATTAAAGATCTGAGTGAACTTCAGGACATAGCAAACTTTCCTGTATGTTTATCTTTAAGCCTTAAACCACGAGTGGTTCACGAACAATTTATTTTAAATCTCACTGCGCGTGATATAGAAGGCAAAATGTTCTCAATTGATATTCGTAGGGAGCAAGGTCAAGACCCCGAAACAAAATTGTTAATCGAATTCCTCGAGTTCGGAACATTTCCTGCGGGAATCACTGAAAATGATAAAGAAGAAATAACATCAAAATCCGAAAACATGTCTATGATTTCGGGTATACTCCACCAACAAATGCAAGGCCAAGTCCCAAGAATATATATACCTATGTCCCTAAGGCCATTAATATTTGAAGCCTTCCACACCTCAGTACTTTCCGGGGGGCACATGAATCTCAAAAAGACACTTAATAAATGTAGGAAATTTTATTGGCCAATGATGCATAGAGACATTGCTAACTGGACGAAGTTGTGTATTACATGCCAGCTTAGGCACTCACCTAACCCTGCTTACCGTGCTGAAATGCAAATGCCACCCAAAAATACTTTGTTTGCCCAAATTGCTTTAGACCTTGCAGGCCCTCTACCTCTCACACAAAAAGGAAATAAGCACCTTCTAAATATAATATGTACTTTCACTAAGTATATTATTTCTGTTCCCCTTCCTGATGCAAAAGCTAAAACCATTGCGATGGCCTTTTTCAAAAATTGTTACCTCAAATTTGGAGGATGCACAAATCTTTTAACTGACAATGCGACAGCATTCACTTCGGACTTTTTCAAGTCATTTTGCTCTCTCTTATATATTAATAAATGCTACGCCACTCCCCATTGGAGCCAAGGTAACCCAGTAGTGGAGAGATCCTTCAGAACGTTTCACAATATTCTGTCAAAATATCTTTCCAAGGACGAACCTGACTTTGATGAATATATTGAGTGCGCGACTTTTTGCTATAACACATCCACTCATGCTTCAACCAATGAGACACCCTTCTTTCTTATGTATGGGCGGGACCCGATATTTTGCATAGAGCAAATACTCGACCCCAAGACAGATTTAGAAACTCCCATTGAAGTGAATGAATTTAAACAAAAATTAGTTAATGTTTTAGGTAGGGCATGGGAATCTGCTGCGGCAGTCATTCAAGAAACACAATTAAGAGCGAAAACACAATACGACAAATTAGTCCGTAACCCAACCATTCTAGTGGGGGATAGGGTACTCCTTCGCAATTATACAGGGAAAGTAGGAACATCTAAGAAGTTCCACATGCCCTGGAAGGGATTATTCCGTGTAACTAAAATAGATGGAGTCCTAGTAACGATTTTAAGTTGCACCTCGCCTCAATCGAACCCTCGTGTAGTACATATAAACCAAATAAAGAAATATTATGAGGAATCTGGTCCACCAAATACGCAAAATTCTTTACCACAATCGGAAAAAGAAGTTTTAGATAACAGTCAGGCACAAGAACAAGCTAATGTTCCCGGTTATTCACACTCAAATCGAACCCAAACACAAACATCTGATAAACAAGCCTCTATATCACTACCCACTAAAGATCTTAACAAAACACAGGACCCAGGAACTGAACCTGAAACAAATAATACTCCTCAAATACTTGAAAGGCAGGGAAAATCAAAGTATGGTCTTAGAAATAAGCCAAGAAGAAAAAACTTCTCTGACTAGGTACCTCAATATATAGCTTATCTTATAATCTTTCAATTCTCTCACATCTTTCTGTACTATCTCCACTCTCTTAATCTTTTTTCAAACTTTAGCTGTTGCCTCATAATTAATGATCTCTAAAAAAATTTTTTTTTCTTTTTCGTTGTTTTCCTCTTCAATGTTTTTCTAATTTTCAAATTTTTTTTTTTAATTTTCAGAAATCAAAAATTTTATTTTAATTTGACTAATTAATTAAAAAAAAAATGCAACAACAACCAAATCAACAACAAAATTCTTTACACCCTGCGGGGTTCACTAAATTGAACAATTTTAATTTGGGGGAAATGCGCATCCACAAATTAAATTCTGGGAAACATCTAATTGCATTTCTTGGCCCAACAGACCCATTCTCCAACTTCTTTTATTCTGAAATTGAGATGTCTGGAGAAAAATTTTCATGTGTTGAAATGGCCTTTGTAGTAAAACGACTCAGATTATTAGAACTCCACTCAATGGCAGCGGAGGCCATGACATTCGTACACATGCACACACCTAATCAAACTAACAACAAATGGGGCGACGGCCATCCCAGAGAACTGAAGTGGTATGGAGCCGAAGGCCTTACTAAAGCAACACCTTACAACAGGAGCAAAGTAACAACAAAAATGGAAAAAGACCTAATAGAAGCAATTGTGGAGCAGAAATTTAGGCAGAATGAATATCTTAAGAAGCTCCTAAAAGCAACAGATGGACTTTATATTGTAGAGGCCTCGCCGGATAAACGGTGGGGCATTGGATATAAGAAACATGAACAACAACAGTTGAAGGATTATACACCCGAAAATAAAAAATATGGACAGAATTGGATGGGGGAAATACTTACTAAATTAAGAGAAAAATTGATTAAAGAAGAACAACAAACCAGTGAGTAAATTTTTTTTTGTATCATAAAACCCTGCGGGGTTCATCTAAATTAAAAAAAAAAAATAATAAATACAATTAAATAAAAATAAATAAAAATAAATTTTATTAATTAAAAAAAAATTTTTTTTTTCAAAAATGTTTTTTCTTACTCCTTTTTTTCACAAAAAGCTTAATAACCTGCGGGTTTCAAAAAAAATTTTTTCAATAAAATCTCAAGTCTAAATTAGTTAAAAAAATCAAATTTAGGAAAAGCAAAATATTTGGTGGCACAGATCCAAACCAGAGGAATCGTTGGAGCAGCGATGGAACCTCATCATTACCCGTATTTTGTATTAATCCCTAATGATCATTTAGAACATGTAATTAACATTGGGGATATATTTACAATAAAGGATTTACATTTGGATTGTAGATTTAAAAATTTAACGGACTGCGGTCCTAACAATTCATGGATCATCAAAAACTCTTCAAATCTTTTATCAGTGCAAGGGTCTGCACAAATTCACCATATACTCTATCGAGCAAAGGAAAAAGAGGCCGAAGGGAGAATCAATAAAATTGGAAATAGATCAAGCAAGACAAAAAAAATACACAGTTTATGGGCCAGTTCTAAAAACTCAAGCAACGAAGCACACATTATCAGACATCAAACAAATTTCGAATTTGAAAACATTGAAGCTGGCCAAAAAATACTAACTACGATTAGAAGTGTTAAAATTCCAAATGGAGTAAAAGTCAACACTCACTTCATCTTGCCTGGGAACTCAAAATTTGGCACCAAGGACATGAAATTTTACAAAAGAAAAGCACACATAATTACAAATCTAAATCTAAATTTATAAATCCTGCGGGATTCTCTTATGTTACATTTTTTTAAATAAATAAAACTTAAAAAAAAGATTATATGCTTAGGGATTCATTTAATATAAAATTTAAATATAAAAGAGGACCAGGGACGGTCCATTGGAGGGTTAGAGGCGTTGGAGGGTAAATTCGCCCAAAAACAGATTTTCAAAGACCCAAAATTTTGTGAACAAAATTAGACTAATCAGTAAAAAAGACGACCAGGGACGGTCTATTGGAGGGTTAGAGGTGTAAGGCCAAGTCCATCCTAAAATCACGTGAACAATAATGGCGCTCTGAACTTTGCGCTAAATAACGGAAGTTCCCAGAGCGATCCAAAGTATAGCACAAACGGCCATTCTCAGAGAGCAAATAGGCTCACTTATCTGATCGCATTAGCCATATTCACTCAGCCTTAAGGCGGTTCTAGGAATAAATGTACAAACAATAAAAGCTTTAAGAGAATAAGGAAAAAGGGTTCAGTCGACTAATCTTCTCTTCAATTATTGTGCAGCATTATTCCACCGGCCGGTGAAGGAAGTATTAAATAACAGCTAGCCTAGTGTCGATCCGGAGGGAAGACGTCTCCCAATCCGGAACTCCCCTGTATCCAGCGCTTGCCTATATTCTATACTCTGCGGAGTTCACACAAGGACGCTTGCGAGACTCCAATCCAACAACCCCACTTAGAAGGCACTGGGAAACGGGACCAACCGCTTTACTATATGTACATATTTATTTATTAATTTGTTTTTTTTTCAAACCCTCATTTGAGTCTCTCAAAAAAAGGACGACAAAAAATTAATCATTAATTTCTTGTCTGTCAAAAGAAAATATTATTTTTTATTTTCCATAATTTCTTTCAAAAATCAAAACGTATTTAGGATTAAATCTATATTACAAATCTACCAATTTATTTTCTCCTAGTTTTTCTCCTAGTTAAGTGCGCGACGATCAATTATTCTTTTGCTCTAAATATTTTGACACAATTCTTTTATTTATATTTTTATTCAAAAATAGGTTTATTAAAAATATTTTTTTATTTAATTGGAGAACACATAAACCTCCTAAAAAAATATTTTTTTAAATATTTTTTTGTATTTTTTAAAAACTTTTTTTTCTTCTAAAAATATTTTTAAAAACAACCATTTACTTATTAATTGACCAAACTTTAAAAATTAAAAATAACATTTGACTAAATAATATTTTTTATGTGTACATGATAAATCATTCATTTTACATTTACATATTTTTAAAATTAATTCCCCCATTTTAAATTAATTAAAAAATATTTTTTGATATTTTTAAAAACCATTAATTTTCTAAAATACAAATTAATATTTAAATTGTTAATCATATTCATACATATGTATGTATTCATAAAATCTAGTAAATAAATTATTTTCATTTAGTTGGTTCAGAAAACGTTTAAATTTTTGACACAAAAATTATTATTTAAAATTAACTACTGAAATGTCCCAAACAGATAATGGAAAAATTGGTAAAAAAATTTTTTATTACAGACTTGACTATAAGATACCTAAACGAAATACTCAATTTTTTCTGAAAATTATTGACCATTACGAAGGGGGAGGGGGGGGGGGGAGACGACGATATCCCCTTTCAATTTAAAATGGGTCCTCTTGATTATGAGGTACAGTCAAGGGCGTATCTGTATAAAATAGGCTCGACTAATTACTAATTTTATATTTTTTAAAGTTGTATTAGTGACTGGCGCTTCAGGCTTTCTAGGCGCCCATTGTGTCAAACAACTTTTATGTGCTGGTTATTCTGTTCGAGGAACTGTTCGTTCTTTACAAAACAAAGCAAAAGTTCAACCTTTAATTGATTTGGCTTCCTCCTTTCCTAAAGAAAATTTTAAATTAATTGAGGCTGATTTGACAAATAAAGAGTGTTGGAAAGAGTTAAATTTGAATAAATTTCTTTGAGTAAAAATCCCTTTTTTAAGAGCAATTTCCGGTTGTTTATATGTTTTGCATGTTGCCAGTCCTTTCCCCATTGCGGCAGATGAAACAATTGTTGATATTGCTGTTAAGGGAACTTTAAATGTTTTGGAAGCGTGTGCTGATGTTAATTGTAGTGTTGTTAAGAAAGTTGTGTTGACAAGTTCCTGTGCTGCTATTAATGGTAATAGATTGGGGGGGGGAGGGAAGGAGGGGATGGAATCTTATTTCTTTTATTTTGACCCAAAATAAGTATGTATAGCTCGATTTAAGATATATTTTTTAAAATCTGGTTAGTGCCTGGGTGGGAGGAACTGTTTAAACAAGACCCATGATTTAAGATCCCCTTATTCCAACGTAAATTTTTCCAGCCCCAAGGGTGTTCAAGTTATATAAGTTTCTAAATCAATTTTAAAATTTAAATTTAAAGAGGGCCATGAATCTGAGAACCGAACATTTTCGGAAGAAGACTGGACAAAAACTGACAACAAAAAAGTGCTTCCATATAGTCGAAGCAAAACTGAGGCAGAAAAAGCTGCCTGGGAATTTGTTAAGAATTTGAAAGGTAATGGAATAATTAAGGACTTGAATAATTAAATATTAATTGAAGAGACTGACAATAAATTTTCTTTAACTTGTTTAAATCCAACTTTAATTGTTGGACCTGTTTTGATTGATATACAAGGAACTTCAATTACGGTATTTTGGGATTTAATAAGATGAGAATTTAAAAAATATATACACTAACTATAAGATATCTCGGAGATTGTTTGTAATGAGAGGTCGGATATCGTATCTTGCAAGGAGGGCATTTTAAATTGGGGGGTATCTAGCAGAGGTGAAACGGAAATGACAAAGGTGCCGGAAATCGGAACTGTTGGAAATCGGAAATGGCTCAAAAGTCTGAACTCATAAGTCGGAACTCTGCCTAGATTTTCGGAAATTGTGATTCTGATTCACCTCTGGTATCTAGTATTGTGGGCATCTTTTAGTGAGGTCTTTAAAATATTAAATTTAAAAAATCTTTTTAACAGATTCTTCGCCGCTTTTTAAATAATGAAATGCCATTAGTCCCAGCACTCCAATTAGCCCTTGTTGATGTTACTGATGTTGCCAAGTTTTCAAAAAATTATTTTTTAAAAAATAAAAAATTAATTTAAAGAGCACATATATCGGCAATGACTAATTCAGAATCCGATAATGAACGAATTTTAATTACTTCACAGCCAAGTTTTTGGTTTAAAGATATTGCCAAAATATTGGCTAAAGAATTTGAAAAGCAAGGTGGAAGGGATTGGAGAAATTAAAAAATAAAATAATTTTTAAAGGTTATTGGCTTCCTCATTACGAAGCTCCTTATTTTTGTGTTTGGCTCTATTCTTTTTTTGATTCAGAAACTCGTTCTGTTCTTTCCCGACTTAACAGACAAATTCTTTTTGACAACAAAAAAGTAAAAAAATTTTTTAGGAAGAATATTTTTTTTTAATTTTTAGGCCAAAAAACTCCTTGGAATTGAATTTCGAAACCCAGAAATTTCTTTAATTGAAATGGCTTATTCAATGATTGAGAGAGGGATTTTGCCCAAACATAAGGAATATATTGGACCTTCCCAAACAATTGCTAACGGATTTTATAAGAAAAATGGAATTTAAATATGAGGAGTTGGAAGGAAGTTAAAGCGAATATATTTAAATAAAAAATATTTTTTTTGTAATTTAATTAATTTATATTTTTAAAATTGACTACGTGCATAATTTATTATTTTCATACATTTTATTTCCTTCTCTATTTTTTTTAATTTATAAATAGTATTATATAATGTATTAAATATAGTATGTACATTTTTAAAGACAAGTTGAAACTAATAAATTTTAATAAATATAAGAAATAAATTTTAAAGTTACACAAAAAATTATTTTTAACCATTATTTGGCACTCCAGTCGTTTGGGGAGCCGCAGTTTTGTTACCATTATATCTAGGGTTGCCGTTTTCGGTTCGAGCCGACATTCGGTGCATTTTTTCGAGTTTGGTTTTTTTCGATTCGTTTACGAGCTTTTCGAGCTGAAAAGCCTCGGCTCGCTCGATCTTTCGAGTTTTGGGTCGAGCGAGCTGGCAACATTGTAAAAAGTATTATGTGTTTTAAAAAACATTTTAGAAAGAAATTTTAAAAATGTTTCATTTGAAGGGAAGTATAAACAGAAACGAATTCCCTAATAATGAACAATTACCATTAAATATTTATAAAAACATTATATAAAAACATATATAGTAAAGCAGCTGGTCTATAGCTATTTCTCTCCTTTAGCTAGTGCAAAAGGTTATTCGGCGGCTGGGAGCGAACCAGCATCTTCAGTAGACCGGACTGATGTGTTAGCCATTACACCTCGTCGCCTACTGCATAGCCTTAGGAATTAAATAGCTATAGCTTTACAATATGAACATTTTAATGCCAATACATATATTATCAACAATAATCACCTATATATATATAATCTAAACTTTAACAATATTTTCATCCTCTTCATTCTTTTCAATTTTTAAAACAAAATCCTTCTTATCCTCCTTTTGTTTCTTCTCTTGTTTTTCCTCTTCTTCTTCTTCTTCTCTTTGTGTTTTATCAACCATTAAACTATTACTAGTTCCCTCACTAACAATTTCAACTTCCTCAGAATTTTCATTATCACTACTTGTTTCTTCATCTTCTTGTGTTTTATCAACATCCAAACCTTCATCTTCAGCTACAATAACTACTGGATTTATACTTAAATCGCTTTTGAATTCGTCTTCTGGTTTTTCTTTCTTCTTGAGATAGATAAAGTAATAACCAATTGCAACACAAATTAATAGACTAAAAAAGAATAAAGAAATTATTTTTGAAACGGATGAGAACCCTACGATCTACCGCAACCCAATCTATCCCAAGGTTATTATATGTATTAACGATCGGATCTAGACACTTTTAATATTATTCGAATTGTACATATAATCAAACTAACAATATAGGTAGTCATGATTAGAGATTAGACTGCGAGTG